AGAGAGAGAGAGAGAGAGAGAGAGAGAGAGAGAGAGAGAGAGAGAGAGAGAGAGGAGTTAGCAAGCATTCTAATGCCCCCATCCTGTTCCAAGAGATTCCATTGTAAACCATAAAATCTTTGCATTTAAAAGAGAATTTGAGTACAATAGCTTTCATGTCAAAAGAGGGCACAAAGTCAAGCTCTTCAAGTTCCATGACCAGCAAAAATCTCAGGTAGCAACTTGCTCGGGTCCTCCAAGACCAACTTAATGATGAACCATTCTTTTTCATCCTTCAGCACAATGATGACCAAGTCCAACACTTACAGTAACGGTTTAGCTCCTCATATGCATAAATTTACTTCGTAAGGGCACTTTTGAATTTTAGATAATTTTGGCTCAGTGACCGCCTAACTTACATAAGTCCACCACTCCGCCTCTTTTACTTGAGAGCATAAAAAGCAGAAAACTAATCGGGTCCCTTTCGTAGTAGTAGATCCCTTTCTCTGCAACTTTACATAAGTGCTGCCTGTTATTTAGAGCACAGAATGATTAAAAAACTCCTCATTTTTCTGTTCCATCAAGTAGAAGCGGCACAATGATGGGCTTACTACAAGTAAACCGGTCCAACAATACTGGCCTTTTTTTAATGAATGAGCCACACATTGAGGTTGTTCATCTAATTATATTAGTGAGGCAGCAGAAGGTCCATATGACATGTATGAAAAAAGATATTTTGTGAGTTTAGAACATTCATGAGACCAAAATATTTTAGCAATTTCAGAAGTAACTCTGTAAAACGCTCTTTTACCATGTTCACGCACAAGAAGATTCTATAAATTAATATAATCAATTTTTCAAAGACAGAAATGGTACATTGAGAGAAAGAGACACACAATTAATATCCTATCTTTCACTTGTAGAAACCTATATTAAACAAGTATGATTGAATTAGTGGGTGAAAATGGCCATGGTTTAATGAGCTTCATATATCAGATTCGAGCCATTTATTGAATGACAAAATTTAAACTTGTTGATGCGGTTGGGAGATTTGAAGGACACTTATGTTGTGTCAAACCTAACCATGCACACAATTATGGAAGACCTAGTTTACACTTTACAGAAGCATGTCTTCTCTATATTCAGTTTGCATATGCCTCTTGGACTATTACTATCCCTGGTGCCAAGATATTTCATGAACAATAACCATCCCATATAGAATAAACATGCCTCTCAAAACCAGCTCAACAAGAACAAATTATAAGCGTCCAAAATTCGCACAGTGTTGTTATAAATATCCGGCTAGGATTCTATACAAAATCCAGACAAGATTAATACTCCATCAAGAAATCAAATCGTGCTGACCACAGAAATCATCAACATTGCATCTCCATCATATACTGAAATTGAGTTCATCGTTTTAACCAGAATCAATCTTGTGTTCCACATTTCAAAAGTAGCACCAAAAATAATTGTTCTTCATGTCAATATCTTTCAAGCAAGTTGCATGTCAACTTAACATAAGAAATGGAAGGAACAAAGAACATTTCAAGCAAGTTGCATGTCAACAAAATACAGTTCGTGATACTGATACAAATAAGTAACTCGCAAGAATGACAGATATAAGATCTGATTAACAGTTGCCAAGTAGAATGCTTTACAATATGCTAAATTTAGGAATATCATACCTAACAACACGAACAGGATAACCCTTCTTGCAACTCAATCTCAATGCCTCATTTGACTTATCAAACTTCTGGTCAAAAGAATGCTCTTTGTTTGTCCTTTTATTCCCGCTAAGGTCTCTTCCCCCGCTGTTACAACATACACTAAAGTCATCTATGCAAATAAATCACAAACACAATGGACGGCAATGATAAAATTTTGAAATCAAACACCAAACCCAGAAGGCAATGACCAATTGCCAATAAAAAACAACAAAACTTAAGCATGTATTATGAATAGAGGTCTTACTTAAACATATTTACATATTCATCAATACAAACACAATAAAGCTTCAAGATAATTTAGGGGAATGCATACTATCTTCCCACATGACCATAGGAAAAGAGTGGTCACACGTTTCATCACCATCAATGAATGGACAGGGATGGGAGAGAATGACCCAGCAAAACATGACATGACTTAGGCAGTAGGTCTCACACTCTCAATCGCTATCCATCCATTTATTGGACAGTGACTCAGTCAACCTTAATGGTTTCTCCCATAAGTAAAACAATGCTCATCTCTTTAGATTACTTACAAGAAGAAATTCGGCATCCCAGACACACATTCCACCCCGTTTTTCCATGGATTTAAGATTAACATATCCTAAGTCATTCAGCTGCTTTAAATCAGTGATTTTACAGCAAATTAGAAAACTAGTGAAAATCTGATAATCAGCAAATAATTAAATGCGATGCAAAAAATAGGTATGAGTAACCTATTTTAGAGGTTCCAAATCTTCTTCTTTTGCTCTCCATTTCAAATTCACAATCACTATGTTTATATCCATGATCCATCTTTAAGATAGACTGTGGACCGCATTTCAATAGGAGCATCAACTGATGCACCAAAACCTTATCCATTACAAACGATAAGAACACAACACAGTACAAGTAATGATAAGTCATCAGAAAGAACATAAAATTACATCAAAACAAACACAACTAATGAAAAAGAAAACCAATCATAACAATAAATAAATTATAAGAGTAACATTCAATCTATGAAAGAATACCAATTGAAAATTTCAAGTGGTAACAACTGCTGCCAAGCAATATAGGAAAGAAAAAGAAAAGGTTGATGAACACCTAAGGCTAACAAACACATCATTGCTCACAAGGAACTGAGTTGCCAAATTAGTAGGAAACAAAAATCAAACAATCATTACGCAAATGAGAAGGAAAACAGGTTGTACGATAGAAAGAGATAAGGAAACAAAATCAAAAAAACCATAACTGAGGAATGATATGGCTTCTTCAAAATTCACCTTAAAATCCCTATATTTCACCAACAGCTACACAGTGAAACAAAACGTATAGAGAACCAACAAGAATGCAAACAAGACAATAGTGGGGGTTCTTCTCACCTTCCAGTGTAAAGGAACCACTCTCCATGATCCTCATCATCCTCATACCCACCTGAAAGTGCAACTGACTGTGCTCCATAATCTGATTGGCCTGCAATTCCTGCAACATGAGGAAGATGAGCACCCCATTGCCTACACTCCATTCTATCCTCCCAGCTCTCACCAACAAGAACACCTTGTCCCCTCTCTGGATCATTCTCAGCAAGAATTGGCCCAAAATGATCAGGGGCAATCGTAACAAATATCTTTCCACTACATGCATTGGCCTTTCCAGCTTTCTTTGCTCGCTCAGTAGTGAAGGGTTTGTCCGGTCGATTCTCATTTCGAACAGAGTAATAAACTTTGGGTGCAGCGCCACTAGAATTAGATGTCCTTGCCAATTTGGCCATTCTTATGGCCACAACCATGGCTGAGTTGATTCTTGGCTGAGATACCATTTTTGAGGGAATGGCATTTCGGCATTTGGCACACGTCCTCTTGCCTTGACCAACCCATTTCTGGAAGCATTTTAAACAGAAGTTGTGGCCACAGGGTGTCTGTCCAAGTAGGGGGATGAGAGAGAAACAACACAGTTAGATGATGGCCGCACTAGAGAGAAGGAAGAAGATGATGATGAATGATGAAAGATGAAACCCACCCACGCGACCTCGTACAAACAATACAAAGGGTTGAAGGAAAAGGGAAAGAAATGGCAAGAATGACATGAAAGAGAAACAGCAACAGAGTCGCAGTCCCAACAGGAAAATTGAGAACTTACAAGGAAAAATGATGAATAAGGGAAGAGAGAGAGAGAGAGAGAACCCAAAATGCCCTAGAAAGGAAGGAAGAGATACAAAATAATACCATGAAGAAAATGACAAAATAAGTGGAAACCTAGGTGACAAAAATGGTATAGTAAGAAAGATGGACAAGGGGGGACATAAAAGATAAAACTAACAATAAAGATGCAAAAACAGGAACATCAATAACAAAATGGTCAACAGAGAGAGAGAGAGGCAGAAAACACAACAAAGAGAGAGACGCAGAAAACACAAAAAAAACAAATAATAAATAAATAAATAAAATAAAAAATAAAAAATTGAGACCCCCGGAAGAAGAAAACACAGAGAGAACCCAAGGAGATGGAAAAAAAGGCAACAAAGTACACGGGGATAAAAGGAAAACCACAGTAGTGGAAATCAGTATCAGAAAATAACTCAAAAACAAATAGCAGGGGAAAAACAGAAAAGGAAAATATAATGTTGAATCCTACTTTATGTAAAAGCGAGAATAATCAGAAACAAGATGATGGTGATGGGCTATGACGAGGACATGTCGATAAATAACATCAAGAGACAGAGACAGAGACAGCAAGAGTAGAGAGAAGACCCCGTAAAATGAAGAAACCTAGATATAAAAGCCAAAAAAAAAATACTAAAAAATGAAGGAAAAAAAGGGGGAAAAATTAATCCCAAAAAATCAAGATTTAAAAATATCCTAAATTTCTCAAGAACAGATAAATGCAATGAAAAAGTGAAAATTACAAAAAGTTCTCACATATTCAAAGAACAAAAAACAAAAGAATGCATGTATCATGTTTCAGTAAATATGGCAAAGTAAAAAATGGAAAATACAAAGTAACCCAAATAATCGATATTAGATAGATAATCACACATGAATCCTGCATTAATGAGAAATACTTACCCCAAAAAAATAAGTAAAATTTAAAATAACAAAAAACAAAAAAATGCAACAAATCCTTGATTTACTAAAAAATAAGCAAGAGCGATTAAGAAAATAACTAAGGGTAAATTACTTACAGTGACTGGCCTATCCAATAGTTGCATACAGAAACAGCAATTTAGGGTTTCATCGAGAAGGCCCAACACCTCATTCTTCTCCTCTTCATTATCACCATTAGAGCTACCAATTTTGGAGGGAGAAGACATGAGTTGTTGCCTTAGCCTTGCCTTCTCTCTGTCGGAGAGAGATTGATCTTCTTGTATTGCCCTAATCGATGAGATCAAACCATCAGACTTTAAGGCCATTAATGGCTGCTTTCCTTTCTGATTTCCGGTCAATGGAGGGAGAGAACAGTCAGGGCACTCAAATACAAATGGCTGAGCAAGAAGATCAGGCGGGTTGCTTAGACAATGGATATGCCATGGCGTTCCACAAGTGTTGCAGACGACACGATCTGCTTCAGGTGGGGTTTTCTTGCAGGCCATGCACATGCCATCTCCATCACATGGGAGCTCTTCTGCCATTGCTACCAGGATCTCTTTCTCTCTCAATCTCTCTAAGTGGGTCGCTCTTTCTCTCTCTATGTGTGGGTCTCTCTCCCCCTAATTGGTTCTTTCTCTCTCTTTCTCGAATGGCACTCTCTCCTTCTAAGTGGGTCTTCTCTCTCAAAGTGGGTCTCTCTTTCAAAGTAGGTCTGCTTCTGTGTAAAGGCGTTCCTCTGGTTCTCTCTCTCTCTCTCTCTTAATGCCGTTTTACCTCTTTGCTAAAAGTAGCTCTTTCTGTATCTTTAGCTATATCTCCGTCTCTATGCCCAAGTGGGTCTTCTCCCCTTACAAGTGGCTCTCTTTCTCTCTCTAAAAATGGGCATCTCTATTTCTCTCTAAAATGGTATTTCTCTCTCTTGCAGTTCTTCGATTTCAGGCAAACTTTGTCCCTCTTCCACTGCATTTGATTTGGGCAAGCTGATTCGATTTCCCGGCGAAAAGGAGAGAATCCAGGAACATTGCCGGCGGCCTATTTATAGTAGAGAGAGAGAGAGTGAAACAGAAAGAAGCGGAGGGGATAAGAATGAATCCATTAAGAGAGAGACAGAGGAAGAAGCATGAATCGAGACAGAGAAAGAGAGAGGGATGAAAGGATTTAGAGAGAGAGAGAGAGAGAGAGGAGGGGAACGGAGGAAGAGTA